GACGCTCTTCCGATCTCCCCAAAACCCCAAAACCCCTTGTTCATAAATTTAATTAAAATAAGGGGAAGTTTGATAATATTTAAATATGTAAAACAAATTGAAATCTCCGTAGAACTAAAGTCAAAAGTAGAACACAAGCTCATCCAATATTTAATGTATCAATATAATATGCAATCTATTATAAATTAACCTTAATTTCTTAGCACAAAGAAATATCCTGAGCGGAAGATCAGACAGAGAATCAATTACAATGGGAAACGGAAATATGATATAAAACTAACAAAGCCAATACTCTTCTTAAAATCAGGGCAACTATGCCCCCCAAACAGCTCATCTTCCAACAACGCAGTCAAAGGTCAAGGTAAGATTAGTGCGCGAGAGCAGAATATTCTAATCATAATACCATTTTAGAAAGTTTTAGCATTCACTCTGAACTAAAATATCAATGCTGCAGCTTACTAATCAGCTCAACATTCAACATCTTCAAACTATCAGCATAATTAATCTAAGAAATAAGAACCTAGTCCTCAGTCAAAGAAGTCCAATCAAGTGGTTAACAGATATGAGTCACTCTAAAGCAAACTTAAGAATAAGGTAGATTTATTATCCCTATTGAACCATTACTGTAGAGAAGATAAACAGCTAATGGCTCTGGTCAACAGTCATTAGGAATTAGTCAACAAATGCTAAACAGTGGTGGAAATGGGAATATTGCCGTATCTACCTCAACTTCTGCCGTATATGCAAAATAAAGCCAATAATTGCAAGAGGCTAAACTGAATTCCACTTAGAAATTCTCGGCAAACAGCTATAATATGTCATAAACTGGCTAATCTACTCAAAGGAAACATCTCAAATTATCAGTAGATAACTCTGACTCAAGTTTTAATAACATGACGATAAAATCTGCTGACAAGTAAAATAGCATTATTAGAAGTATTCCTCAATCTACCAAAAACGGTGATATCTTACTTAAGTAGCAATAGCAACAGATGACTCCCACAAGCAACTCAGGTCTTATAAACTCAAGTGCTAATCTTTTATATCAATCCCACTTTTCAACAAACTCCAGATTCACCACAACTAGACCAGTAATATTCAAATTTTAAATTCCTTTAGAAAAATCCTACTGACACTAGCAGTCTGAGTTCCAAAAATTCTGATTCCTTAAGTGCTACAATGAAAGTTCCAATGCTTGATCTCAAGAAAGCACAGGTATCGAAGATAGTCAAATGTAATGATCTTGATAGTTTATTATATTTTAGAGCAAGCGTTTTAAACTATCAGAGAGTAGCAGTAAAATATAAGTTATCCACAATAATTAGATCTTATCAATGAGTATCAAGATGGTTCATTTTAGGTACAAATAGGATCTGATTAGCTTCAACACTCAGGCCTCTACCAAAAAGTGACAGACAGATAAACAAACGCAGCCTCACTATTAAACTCAAATAGCAATGGCAATCTTTAAATGAACTAATAGTAACCCTATAAATCTAAGTTCACACTTGTTAACAGACCCATTGATCTAGCTCCATAGACATCCAAAGAGAAGCATAAAAAGAGCTTCTAATTCTAAACTCAGTAATCCATCTCAGGTGCTGACTCATTTAGAAAGCAAACTAACTTGTCCACAAATCAAGCATAGATTCAAGGTCAACTATTGGCTCAGCAATAAAAGCAAATCTCCAGCAATGGACAGCCAACCGGGCTAATGTTTAGTCCAAAAGCAGTGCCTGGCTAATAGCAACAACCATAATAGTATAAAACAAAGAATTAATTAAGTTCAAGAGGTAACCAAAACTAAAAATCTAGTAATATTGAATCTCACAGAGCGTCAATAGGTGCTGTTTAAAAGCATAAATTATTCTTAACATCCTAAGATTCTATACTTAACTCACCTGATACAGCATTCTCACCTGTCAAGGAGTAACCATAATAAAACAACAACTTGAAAAACTTTATGAAAGATAAACCCAAGCCTAGTGAATTTAAACCTCCACTTAATAACTAATCAGTAGATGCAGCTCTTTAGCAGCATCAACATCATAAGTCATTGACTAATCCTTAGATACAACTTCAAGGTTCACTAATCATTAACGAATTCAATATGAAGTCAAAGAAGAGCACTAACAATGGAAATAACATAGATGAGACTATCTAAGAGGAGAATCATGAGGAGAGTGCTTAAAATACTAAGAGAAGCAGCAATGTAAGCTTAACTATAAATCCAAAAAGACAGAGTCATGTGAAAACATAGAAAAACTCTATGAGTGAATTTCAGCCTATTGAGTCTAAGCTAGCTGAATTGAGTTAATAATAGCAACAAACTACGACTATATAGTCTATTCCAGCTGAAATCAACTAAACGAATCAAGCAATGGAGTCCTTGGAATCATAGCCAACCATATCAATTGAGCAGCATCAGCAGCAATAATAAATGCTTGAAGAGTAAAAGAAAAATCAAACTTTACTAGCACTAAAAGAGCAATTAAAGGCTTAAATTAATAAGTAGCACCAGGCATTTTCAAACCCTCAATCGATTTCATAGATTGATGCTACTGAAGTTAGATACCCAATATCCCCAGGTTAAGCACTTAAATTATTCTTGAACAACTTGACTGACTATGAGAAGGGAGAAATCCTCAACCAAAAAGAGGTCTACTTCCTAGGTCTTAATGCCTAGAAAATTCATGGATCTCCAAGACTTCCCCATAATTATGGGTATGATGATGATAGAGGTGATTATCAAGTAGTTTTGAGAGATCATTTGGCTTATAGATATGAAGTCTTAGACTTCTTAGGCAAAGGTAGCTTCGGACAAGCTTTGAAGTGTTACGATTACAAAACTAACTAATTTGTTGCCTTGAAGATCATCAGAAACAAAAAGAGATTCCATCATCAAGCTGGAGTTGAACTTAAAATCTTACAGTATCTAAAGGATCATGACCCAGATGATGTTAACAACATTATCAGAATTAAAGACCATTGCATCTTCAGATAGCATTTAATTATCAGCTTTGAGCTGCTGAACATTAACTTATATGAGTTCATTAAGAACAATAACTTCAGAGGTATCTCCTAAGGGTTGATAAGAAGATTTGCCATTTAGATTCTCTAAGCTCTAAAATATCAAAGAGACCATGGGATTATACATTGTGATCTAAAGCCAGAGAATATCTTACTAAAATAACCAAATAAATCTGGCATTAAGATCATTGATTATGGTAGCAGTTGTTTCTAAGGGCAAAGAATTTACACATACATTCAATCAAGGTTTTACAGAGCTCCAGAAATTATCCTAGGTATTCCTTACTCTACAGCCATTGATATGTGGAGTTTTGGATGCATATTAGCTGAGCTTCATACTGGATTCCCTCTATTTCCAGGTGAAAATGAGATGGAATAACTAGCATTCATAATGGAAATCAAAGGTGTCCCTCCCGATTATATACTTGATATTTCAAGCAGAAAAAAGTTATTCTTTGATTCTGAAGATTAGCCAATTATAGTTGCTAACTCCAGAGGCAAAAAGAGAAGGCCAAACACCAAAACCCTTAAGGCTATTTTACAAACAAGCGATAACAACTTCTTAAACTTTATTGATAGATGTCTGGACTGGGATCCATTCAACAGAATGACACCATTAGAAGCATTACATCATGAATGGATCTTAGAGGGATTACCTCCAAAAGTTTTAGTTCATCATTAACGTATGTTTGGCTAAAAGGAAGACAAGGCTGGCATCAGAGAAGCCACTTTAACTTAAATTCAAGGCTTTCCACCAGATGCAGAATCAAATACTATTTTTACTTCTAATAAATAAAAGTCCAGCAATGCGGGAGCAAGCTAGCAATAGCAATCAAAGAGGGAAGAGATCCAAAATATTACCATAGAGTAATAAGAAGTTTAGATTGTACCTTCTTCTCAGGTATAATCAGATCTAGTGTAAACTCAGTAAAATTACTAAGCATAGGCATTCATAGTCAATTAAACAGGATCCTCTTAGTCATAAACAGGTCAAAAGAAGAATAGAACGATATAGTTGTTTATGCAAGAGATGTTCGATGAAAAAGCTCCTTCATCAGAGGATGTAAATTAGAATTAATTCTTTGCACCTCAGCTGTAAATTGAGCCCTAAACATTCTATGGACATCAGAAGCAAAGCTTTAAGAGTTCAACTCAAAATATAGGGAAAATTAAAGAGTATGACTAGCAAGTAACTATCACTTATGAAGGCTCTGCAGTTGATGAAGATATGGAAGAAGGTGCTCACTTTAGCTAGACTTAGAAAATACCTATTTCACTTATCAAATAACAAGATAAAGTTGTCACTCCCAACCAAAATGTGCACCAGCAATTTTATAACCCCAAACAAGGAGGTCCAAAGCTTAATAATTATCTGACATAGGCAAACCAAAACAAACATAGTGGAAGCAATGCTCAATTTAACTTCGGAGGCAAAAAGCAGTCACATGGAGGTTCCTTCCACAAAGCACATTAATCCTCAGGCATCGATTTGTTAGCCTCTGCTAGAAATACCAATAGAACTAATTAGCAATAAAAATCCAACAACAACTCTCATCATCAGTAAGTAACACTTCTTTGTTTATAAATTTTTTATAGAGTTTCTACAAAATAAGATGTGAAGTAAAATGCATATACATTGAAATAGATCACTTCTTAGAGGACTGTTGGATACGGAACTGACTAAGTAAATATGAATGTGCAAATGCAGCCTGCTTAGCAACACTAGACTCAGAGTATAAAGATCGATCTCGCAAGCTCATAGTTCAGCAGTAGTGCCAATTCAACTAATAAATGATATAATAAGGAGTGAGAGGGATTGAGCTAGGCTTGCAATATATTAAGATTAATTGGATTTATAGCAGAACATAGAGTTATCTACAATTACTCTTTAAATTAACATTTAAGACTTAAATTTTATGCCTTAATAGCAATCAATTAATTTTACAATCTATATTGATACAAGCTCAAGGGGTTTTGGGGTTTTGGGGTTTTGGGG